TGAATTTGATCTTCACACTAAAATATCCGAGCTGATCGACTTTTCCAATAAACATATCAATGTTAATAATAATAATCACAATATTACATGATCATAGTAAAAATAAAAACGAAAAAATAACCATGATAATGACAACAAAACCTACCACAACAGTAACAACAATGAATTAAATGAAATAATTTCAACTACAAAAATCTGAAAAATCTGATCCTCTAACAATCAAGTCCTAGTAATGATAATAACAACAATAACAATAATCAGTAAACGCAATCATAGTAACAACTGTAAACAATAATAACTATCATTATTATCATTAGTGAAAATCCCCTTCAAACTCAAACAGGAGTTTCTTTCTTCGTCATTGGAGACTGTATACTTGCGTCTTTCTCTGTTCTCACCTGAAATACGATTTTAAAGAAAACATTAAGCAATAATAAATATGTATTCAAATAATAACAATATTAATAATATCAATAACAATAACTACAACTAAAAAACACACGTTATGTCCGTGGTGTCTGATCTGCAACTGCTCCTTCTCGATCCACTTCATCTTCCTTCCNGGGGGGGGGGGTGGGTCGCACGCGAGCTAGCTCGCACATGCCACGCCTACTGCGCATGGCTTCAGCCCAAGCGTGGTCTCAGCCTAAGCCTAAGCCTGAGTTCGCTTGCTAGCCTCTGCTGTAGCATCGAACGATCTGAGGCTACGCTTAGATGAGGCTGAGGTCACCTTAGGCTGAGGCCATGCGCGGTAGGCGTGGCATGCGCGAGCTTGCTCGCGTGCGATCCCCCCAAAGTAAAAAAGTGCCCAATAAATAGAATAACACTAAATATTATATTATAATAACAACAATAGTATGCGGCAGTGGGCGGGCCATGTACTAGCAGCAAGCCCCGCCCACCGCCGCTGCGCACACACGATCCGCACCAAAAACAAGACGAGAAGAAACGCCAAACCTGCCATCCCAGTACCAACTTCGACAACTCTCTGCCGCTCATTCCCTCGGTCTCTCTGGCGATTTCTTCGCATTTCTTTGTCCAGTTGAAGTCTGCCATCTTCAAGCGTTGCTTTCTCGATCCGGACGTTGCTGGTTCGGCAATGAAACGATAGAAATACTGCAGCAGAATGCGCTCTCGTTCCACCACACCTATACGGTAGCGGATAATTAGATAATAGATACAAGCCGGGCCAAAACCTGGCTCAGGCTCACAACATTAACACAACCACTCGGCGTAGACTGAACGGTCCGAGTGTAGCCTCAGCTCCATCTGAGAGTAGCCTCAGGTCGCTCGATGTTACAACAGAGGCTAGCAAGCGAGCTCAAGCTTAGGCTTAGGCTGAGAC